CCACAAGTTGACCATTTTTCACCCAAGTCATCCATATCCACACCACTCTAATAATATAAATAAATATAAATATATATAAATTAAATACACACATACCCACAAGTTGACCAATTTTCACCCAACCCATCCATATCCACACCACTCTCAAACCGTCGGTGCAGATAAGAAGAGAGAAAGAGAAACACTCCCATCATCAGCTCACAAGTGTTTTATATAACTACCAATAAATAAATACCAAATCTCAAAATAATTACCTTCTTCGTTTTATATTTTTAATTTATTTTCTTTTTTTCTGCCATTTTCCCCATGGACGCAGTAAGTCTAGCAGCATATCATCCATCCAAATCTGGTTTCTCGACTCTCAACACCACTTCTTTTTCCTGGTTTTAATTATTTTATTTGCAAAAAAAAAAAGGAATTAATAGACATACAAGTGTTATAATTTTCAGGCGTATAGCAGGAAAAACGGGCAAATTCCGGCTTTCGGCGACTGGGAAAATGCAAACGAGATGGCGATAACACAGTACTTGGAGTGCGCGAGGCAGGCCGGCCAGCCTTCTTCGCTGCAGCTGCTCCGGAGAATGCGCTGCTTCTTACGACAAATCGCGGAGGGTACAACCTTTTCTTTTCTCTCTCTCAATTACCCTTTTTTTTTTTCATCTATTTTCTTACTTTCACTATTGGATTTTAACTTGAGGAATACCATCAACAACTTAATCAAAGCACAACTTTTTATTTTCTTCAACTTGACACGATTCTTGCTGCCCTTGTGGTCCTACCCGGCTCGATTCCGGATTAGTCGGTTCCCCTGAGGATCTGGAAATTGGAAGGTCCCTGTACTAAAAAAAAGAATTATAAATATGAAGAAGAAATGGACCATACTCCCCCATTGCAACATTTTTCCAATGATTAAATATTTTTATACAAGAAAAAAAATTCATTAAAAGGCGTTATTTTTTTGGCATTATTTAAGTTCAATTTCCAAATTTTAAAAGGACTATTCTGAACAGAGCTGAACATTATAAGGCCCTGGGCCAAATACGAAAATGATGCCCGAGTATTATTTAACAAACTAGTACGTGACCCGCGTGTTGCGTGGCTTGACATTAAAAATAATTTGGGTGAATTATAATTGGATATACATAAAACATGTATAGAGTTAATAAAAAGTAAGATAACTATTTTATTTAATATATTCAAGATATTCTCATGAATATAATCTTAGTAATCGATGAACTGTATTCATTATGACCATTATCATAAATAATAACCATCAAACAATTGGAATCGGTGACTTCGGGAAACAACATATAACTGATTGTGAGTATAAAATACCATACGTTTTTTTTAAAAAAATATATAATTAAATTAAAATAATAATTTATGATATTCAACGAAAAATATTTTTTACATTAATTACACTCCTTGAAACTTCATCATTCTCGCATAATAAAGACATTA